ATAAGCAGTGAATTACTTTGATCTTATGCAACTTTTACTTTAATGTGATCTTTCAAATGTAAACTTCTTCCTGGCATAAAATCTTTGCATTTAGCAGGGATGTCTGCACTTTTGACCTTGACCTGCAGCTTGCTGTAGCTGCTCACCATTATCTCAGAAGTAGTGAGACAGTAATTATTTGGGGTGCAGGGGAGGAGGTCAGGCTCACAAAATTTTCTTACTTCTCCCCATATCCAGACTTGAGCCTTATGACTGCTGCCTCTCTAACTCTCACTGCTTCTCCCTTGTCACAACACTTCCATTTCACAACTTCTTGAAAGGTGTTTTCCTTCTTTCAGAAGGAAGGTGCTTAAATCAGTAAGCAGTGGATGTGTTTTATATGAAAACAAAAGACCATATACTAGTTGTACTTGGTCATCTGATTTTTCTGTTGCTTCTCATGTAAGTAGTCTGCTCTTGCATCTTTCATGGACAAGCAGATGGAGGGAACTGCACTGCAGCCCTGTGTGTACAGGGCTTTTTCCAGTGCTAGAGCAGAACCTGTTTCCTGCTGTTCTTAGGGGTCAGCGGATTGTACCTTTTGTCCATGGTCTGAATGGAACTGCTCGTTTATGTACAAATAGGTTTTGCCCTACCAACTTCCTTTGGGCTGCTTTTGTAATGCTTGTTGATGCAAGGGATTAATTTTGCTGCTGCTTAGTAGAAAGAGTGCAGGTTTCCCTGGTGTCATCTTTGACAAATAGGGATGCAAAGTAATTTTCAATGGCATCACTCTTCTGAGAGTGGCATCAACTAAGCCATTCTAACATTTCTTTTATTTGCATCAGAAAATGTGCCCTTATGTAAGTTCTCAGACATATTTTTTTTCTCATGTGATATTAGTGTATTAGGATTTTTTTAACCCTTAAAGGAGCCATTTATGTAAATTCTCAGACATTTTTTTTTTTCTCATGTGATATTAGTGTATTTGCTTATTAGGATTTTTTTAACCCTTAAAGGAGCCATAGGCCAAGCCCAGTGCCTCTTTTACAGGGGAAAAAAATAAGCAAATAGTTTCAATTGTGATTGGAGTCACTGTTATATCATTCTGGAAAGGATGCTTTCTGTCCTGTTCATAACATCCTGCAGTTTCTTTGATATTTAAGAAAACTATCCTGGATATTTTGGTTCTAGCCAAATACCTTGCATGTCAAGCCTTCTCATTCTGAAGAAATGCACAGAAAAATCTAACTAAAGGCCAGTTATAAGTCATTCTGATTGAAGCTAGTATCTTAAATACTGGCACAGGCTGGATTTGCGTCAGGATGTGGAAGTGAAACTGGTCACTGGTGAAGGTTACACCCTTTTAAAAGCTGGAGGGTGTAAAATTCTTACGCTTGCAATTTCTTTGCAGATGCAAACAGTCTTTTGTCTTCTCACTAACCCTAGTTTTCAGAAAGTTGCTGAACCTTATATTGGCCACTGTGGTTGGTTGAGATTTCTGTCCTGTCCTTGGGCCCCAGCCATTGAATTTCCATAATGTACCTAAAACATTAACTGGAGCTTCAAGATGAAGACTTTGGACCAAAAAAAAAATGCCTTTGTTTCTCTGTCACAGTAGAAGTAAACGTTGTCACACAGAAACGACTCCTGCAGGTACCAGGATTTATCACAAGTCTTAAATGAGGTGAACCTCACTTTCCTGGGTGCTTCTGTAGGGGTGAGCATGTGTGAGATCTCTCAAAATCAAAGACATCCTTCTATAGCATTCCTAGGGTGAGTAGGGAATAAGAGAATAGGTGCCAGATATTAACGTTTGCGCTAAAGTATTCATGCAAGGTACTTGTATAACTTCCAAATAATGAGATACCAGACTTTGTGCAGATAGCAAATTGGATGAGTATTGAAGAGTGCTGACATCCAAGAACATGGAATAAGGTGCAGCATATTTTGTCATCTAGCTGTTGGCAATGAGGATTAACATTAGTGAGAGGATAAAGATCGCTAGTCTTTCATGTAGATTCCTCAAGAAACTAAATAAAATAGCTAGTAAGCTGAAACTGAAGAAAAAATAGAAGTGGAGATACTGATCTGAATGTATATTTGTTGGTAGTGTGTTGAATTGGCCTTAAAAATATAAACACAAAATGATGGGGAGATATTGGTGTTCTTTAAAAGCTTTGCTCTGTCGTCATCAGATTAAAATGTTATATTGAGGCATCTTAAAAAGGGCTTAATGAAGTCAGCGTCAGCAGATCCTGGTGTCTTCAAGCTGCCTGTCCTGCACTTACCACCTTTCAGCTCTGTTACTGGCATAGATCATCTCTTCCTTTTTGCCTGACACTTGTAAACTGTTGGGTCACAAAGGTGGCAGTAGGTAGCAGTATGCTTGAGGTTCTGAGGTTTTGTCTGAGTGTGAGAGGGATATTAGATTTACAGAAAAGTGGAGTGAGATGACAAGCTTTCTCTTTGTTGTTGTTGTTTAATGAAGGCATGTTGGAGGATAGAATTTTTTATATATCTTATGTTTGTGAACAAGTGGTATTGCAGTAGCAGGGTTTGGAATTTGTGAGTGTCTTTTGTGTCTCTTATTAGATTGGCTGCTGATACTGCTCTGGAACTTCTTCAAGCCGTGTATACAGAAAAACACAGGTTTGCAACAGTTAGAGAATCCGCAGGGATGCTGAGTGTGAGTGGTGGCTTCTGCAGTTTTACAGAGCGGGCAGCCCTGTGTTTTCGGGTTTGTTACTGCTTGAAAATAGTTGAACAAACAAATTAAAAGCTTGTGACAGTTCTGTGGTTTTTCTAGGCTAGAATACTTCTGTGCTTCAGTTGCTTCTGGAATTTAGGCCCAGAATGAATTCAAGTGCCTAACTTGTTCTGGGAAAACTGGAGCACTTTACCTGCAAACTAATGGACGAGGAAAAACCTAAATAAATGTTTTCTTGGCTGAATATGCTTTTTCAAAACATTGTGCATCAGCTTTATGCTCCACTTTTAGTTAAGTGACTGTTCTGCTTCACTGGAATGCTCACTTTATTACAGTTTGCAAGCCTAAGACAGAGTCTTAACTGAGGGGCCAGTTCATGAAATCCTGCTGGCTGAGATCTGGTGAGCGCTTGCTGCATGGATGACGGCGTGCACGCATTGAGTCAGGTAGCAGGGTGCTACACCAGCTCAGCCTGCTCTCCGTCCCTGTTCTTGCACATCTTTATGCTAGTTCTAATGTTCTTTTTATCCTTTTGGATTGCTCTTTGGCGGGTTCATTTTCTGCCGAATTAATGAGTTGAGTGTTTGCTAAGGACTTGGGGGACTTATTTCTGTGGCAGAGGTTTGTGGGTGGATTGGTGCAGACCATGTAACTGAGTGTGGGAGAAGGGAGCAGGACAGCAGCAGCCCAAGTAGCGTGAGGGTTGTACTTTGCTCTTCGTAGTCCATAAACATGGATTTAATACGCACTGTGAATCCTTTGTTTATTGAGGACCTGCTGTGTAACCATTTAAATCAACCTAGGGTTTGTATTGGCAAAGCTTACCTCATCTGTGAAGGGAGAAGAGATTTTTCCTTTAAGAAACTCTTGATTTGTGTTTCTAACTTTAAATAAAGTTGGTCTTAAAAGCTTACACCTTTTCACAGTGGAGATTGCTTACCACAGAAGTTGTTAACCTAAGCAAAACCAGAGGGCTTTTTGAATAAGCATCAGTACATATGCTTACTATTAACATTATGTTGCCTTTCTGTCCCATCATTTGTAGAGGTTCTTGCCTCAATTTTTTCAGAGGGACACAATCTCTTTCCTGAAGGAGATGTGGCAGAAAGGCAGGATGATGCTGATGGGAATTGTCTGTTAGGGAAACTGCAATAATTTTCAGTTTCTAGCTAGAACTTCCAGTTTCAGAAATGTGATTAATGTACTGTATTAGGAGGAATAAGCTTAAGCTGTCACAGACGTTCCTTTAAAACAAAATAACCAGTTGCTGCTTCAGTTTACATTTCTGTCAGTATCTCAGCTGCAGTTGAATAGGTGACTTGAGAACAACAGAACAAAATGAACAAAACATCAAACTGAATTGGGAACAGAAACAGATATTTGAAGACTTCCAAAGTTGCCTCGTGTTATAGTAAATATTTTTACAGGCAGTTGTTAGAACATATTTGCTTAGAAGTGCTAGCAGGCTTGCTAGGTTTAAAAGTATAATTGTGAGTTAAGGCTTTGAGCTTTTATGTTTGAGTAATATTTGATTTTTTTCAGCTTCTTTTAGACATTTAAGTTTAACCTGTATTAACATGCAGTTCTGCAAGAGCAGGTTCATGTAAAATAAGTTTGAAACTTACTCATGAAAAATGATGTGGACCAAATGTGGAGAGGAGAAAATGGAGATACTAAATAATAAGAAGAAACAACCAAGCATTTTACAGCAAATATAGGGGGTCTGCAATTTTACTGTTTTAAGTATACTGAGTCTTTATACCTCTCAAATTTGAAATTATTTTAAAATTGCAGTTCCATTGAAGATTTTCCTGTAGGTAATAGAGGTAATAATACAGGTAATAGATAACATCTACTAATGCAAAAAGAAGCATGATTCTTGCATAGAATCTCTTAGTTTTCATTTATTATCTGTGTTAAAACTGCTATTTTACGTTAAATCAGAGCTGTGGTCTGTGCACTGTGCAGCCTTGCCACTGGGTGGGGTACGGCTACCGTTGTGCAATGTGTTGGGTTCAACGAGCCGGAATGTCTCCTGAGAAGAGAGGATGCCGATTCCATTTTTTGAATGCTTCAGTGATATCAGCTCTGTGGTTCCAACGTAATTGTAAAGAGCGTATTGCACACAGGGCCTTGAACGCACAGGTAGATAACTGTGCACTGTGAAGACAATCCTTGAGACGATTCTTGCTATGTTACTGGATAAATTATTCAAATAGGGTGCACTTTTTGCATGTTCTAGAGGCATAGTTTGTTTCACAGTTTAATATTAGAGTTGAACAAGAAGTGATTAGCTGACTTTCCCCTCTTCCTTTAGGCATATCACTTAAAAATTGCATGATGTGTGATCAGTTGGAGATTCTGAACAGGGAGATTGAAAGGTTATTACAGAACAACAGCGTGGAAGAAGGCACTTTAAACTCGGACTGTCTTCAGCCATCAGTGACTGACTCCCTGGATATAATCACTGATTCAGACAATGGAGCAAAATACGTATTAGAGCAGGTATTCGATGCCATGAGATATAGCACTAGGGACTTTTAAAATCAATTTATTCTATTGTCTTTTTTTAAAATTTTTTTCTCCTATTTTTGGAGTGGGAATAGTTGGCCAAGGGAATGAATTTAGATAATGTATGCAATTCCCTATAGAGAAGGTACAGGGGAAGGAAATACTGACGTGGATCTAGCTATATACTCATGTTTTTTTCCTAGTTCTGCTTTGCCACAGTGATGCAAATTTTGAGCTTTACTGCTCATGAAATAATAAAGTGATCCACTGATGAAAATCGGATTTGGGGAGGGGTTTGTCTTTTCCCCTCTCCTTATTTTTGGGATGGTGACCTGGCATTGGAGAACACCTAGAGATGATTGTTGCTTAGGAAATCAAAAGTTTCTAAGCAGCAAAGATGCTTTAAGAGTTGAGGGCTTGAGAGATTTGGAAAAAAAAAAAAGACTTATTCTTTAATAAGAAAAGTCAGACTGTGTATTGGCATGTCTACGAAGGATTATCTAATTGTTCTTAGATTTGTATGTCTCCCCACCTGGAGCGTTAACAATCGGTTTTTACTCCTTTGAAAGGATTATTAAAGTTTTTGTTATTTCCTACACCTACTATGGCAGTTCCCCTGCATGTTTAATTGCAGAATTCTGACAGGCAGAGTCTATGTCCAGTATTGTTCTTTTGTCTTCATGAATTTTTTTTATAGGACACTTCAAAAGTGACTTTCTATCCTGTCCATCTGGTACTCCTTTTCCTCTCAAATTCTTTTCCAGGGTTCTTCTAGTTTGGTAGACTACTTTGGGTAAAATGCAGGCATTTCCTGCT